CTCATTTCTTATCAGTCTACTATGGTAAGTGCAGTGAAACCTAAACAAAGTGGCAGTGAAATAAAGAAAGAAGACAAAAGAGATCTGATCTGTGACTACTGTAAGAAGCCTAAACATACAAGAGATACTTGCTGGAAGCTTCACCCACATCTTGTGCCGACTAGATTGAAGAATAAGAAGGGAAATGCACACGTGGCAGTTACTGGTGACACTCCAGCCCCTCCTACTACAGCTGCTCTGGAGTCTGTTGCAGTTGCTGCAGTAAGGGCTGAACTTGAGAGATATGGGCTACTTCTGAACCAGTGGGATACAACCAGTTCCAGTTCAGCCGCAAACGGACAACAAGGTACAGGTGGCACTGGCGGAGTCCACTCTACCTCCTTTGCTCACATAGGTAGTTCACACGCCACTGCACATTATGTTTCCACTTCAGGAAAGGAGGGACCCCCTTGGATTATAGATTCTGGAGCCTTAGAGCACATGACCCATAGCTCCACTATTTTTTCTTCTTACCAGCTCTGTTCTGGCAGAGACAGGGTCTCCACAGCTGATGGATCCCATGTTCCTATTGCTGGGAAGGGATCTGCCAAGATTAGTGATTCTATTTGTCTACCCTCTGTCCTTCATGTTCCCAGATTGAGTACTAATTTGTTATCTGTTAGTAGTTTGACTAAAAACCTGAACTGCTCAATAATTTTTTCTCTTGGACATTGTATTTTGCAGGATCTAGATTCAAAGAGGATGATTGGGAGTGGTCGTGAACTGAATGGAATCTACCTCCTAGATGTACTTCCTCCTCATCAGAGTCATCATGTCAGCAGGGACAGTGAGTCAGGATCTGTGAGTCAAATTATGCTTTGGCATAATCATTTGGGTCATTTACCTTTTTCTTCTTTGAGTTCTTTGTTCCCAAAACTTTTGAGTCTGTTAGTCTGTCAAGTCTGGAGTGTGAAGGTTGTCAACTTGGAAAGCATTGTAGACATTCATTTAAACCTAGTAATAAAAGATGTTCTTCTTCTTTTGATGTTATTTGTGGATGATTTCTCTCGATACTCTTGGATTTACCTGATGAAATCCCGCGATGAGGTACCATCCTTGGTGAGGCAATTTCATCAGATGGTACTAACAC